CTCCGCCGGTGTTGTTTAATTAAAGCAGCAGTCCCAGAATATAGACGATTAAAAAAAAAACATGCTTCCTAAATTCAGTTAAGCATGCTCAAACACGATTTTTTTTAATTTGTCTAATTTTTTAGGGCATTTGCCTATAAAATCAGAAAATTCGCCCTTAATTTTAGAAAAATACACCTTAAAATTAGGGCAAATCACCCTAAAAACAGGAAAATATTTCTTATTTCAAGAAAAATCACCCTAAATTAAACCAAATTTTCATCGGGATTTTTTAGAAAATTTTTCTAAATACACGGGCGAATCGCCAGCGGATACGATTTATGGGCGATTTTCTAAATCCACGGGCGAAAAGTCAGTTTTTTAGGGCGATTTAGGGTAAAAATTTCTATGAGTGTAATAATAAAAACGAAGTTAAATACTTACTGAAATATACAGAAAACTTTATCAAATAAACACTAATCAAAGAATTGTAAGGTACAGGATTTTAGGAAAAACAGGTTAGTTCCAGTTCTCCAAATCCTGTTTCTCTGCACCCATCGTTATTGGATTTTAATGAGGTAAATACAAATTATGACGGAGTTGCCGGGGGAAAGAAGCCAAGAAAATAAGCGGAGACAGGGACAGGAATGTCAAGTGGCAAGTGCAACATGTCTCCCCAATAAACCCCCCTTATCCCTGTTCCCGAAGTCATTAGCATGCGAAAGGCAACCACAGCCAGATCCACCGAGAAGACACCACTAACCAGTTGACAGTTGTCAAATCCACTTACGCTCTTCATGGTAAACAGTTTCTGACGAGCCTGCTGAAGGATTTATTTAAGTGCAGACAGACTAACAGACTAATAAGTGCGGCTCTCCCTGCAAACATATTCATATGACGACAGACTGGCAAAAGTGTGGGGCGGGGCTGCTTTTACTACCTGTTCTTACCTGCTCTTTTGTCAGCCTAAGTTTTATTTAAATTTTTAACGGACAACGCATGACCGGGAAAGTTTCCGTCTTGATTTCTATTTATTGCCACGAACGGGACAAAAATAATCTTTGACTTAAAAATCTTAGTTAGACTGAGAAAAAATGTATTTATTTTTAAAATTAGCAGATATATTATTTAAAAAGTTATTCATTGCGACCTTTCATAGAAATGTATTAAAGTTATTTGATGAAGTATATAATCTAATTTTATTTTCTTCAAAACATTAAAAAAATTTTCACATATTTATTCCCTTGAATTTTGTAATTTAAGTTAAAAGGCATAGCTGAACAAGCCTGGGAAAACTGCTATATTACAAAATTTTAGATCAGGATTGGTAGATAGGAACCTAATAGATAAGAATTCCCATTTTCAAATATTTTGATCAACTGGTTAATAAGTAACCTGCCGCAACTAAAGAACATATAACCTGATTTATGTTCCCTTCCGTGGTTCTTAAGAAAACTTTTTTGATGCCAAAAATGTTAGATTTCTTTAGATTTGTACCATTTTTATAGAGTGACTGAAATCGCTATAAAATTTTCAAAAAATTGCTTGTTGCATCTTGTAAAAACTTTTATAAAAATAGCAGGGACCGTAAATAATCATTACACTAGTTTACAGCCGAAATGCTCCCCAGCAATTGATGGCAAATTCTGTTAGTTTTAGACCCCTAGATCACGAAAATAGCACTAATTTTTTTTTCGATGGCACAGTTTTTTTTTAAAGATTTTTTAAAGTTTGAAATGTTAAATTTCGGACTTTTTTCGAATTTCTTCTTATATCTCGGCAGATATCCACTTGGTTGAGCCAGTTTTAGTTTTATTTTGAAGTCAATAGATCAGAGCTTAACTTTGCCATACAGATTAATATGATTGGATGAGTAATGGCAGCGCAGAGGCTTGACAAAGATGAAAAATGTGTTTTTTGGTCGTCTGTAAGTCGGCTGTATATATCGTAAAAACTCGAAATAAATCCGTTGAAAAATCATAATGGGTACAAACTTAAAGTTTACATCCTACCGAATAGAACAAGCTGGATATGGCCCAAATCCATGGAAAACTGGATTTATGGTGGATTTTTAAAGTTCGGATTTTTCCACTTTTTTCGGTTGACAGAGTCCAAATTTAAGATTTATCATAGGCGGCGTCATGTATACAAAAATGAGTGGTGACGGCAGCCGGATCAAAAAATAGCTAAATTTAAAAGCTAGAAAATTATAAAATAAATTTAATTTCTGAAAATTCCTTTAAAAATATAAAATTGCTTGCGTTATGACTGTGAGTATTTTTAATTAAGTACTATCCATTTGGATAGTTCATTCTTATGAAAAAAGTAACCTTAATTTCAAAAATTAAATTCACTTTAATAATTTTCTAGCTTTTAAATATCTGATTTAGCTATTTAGTGACCCGGCTGCCAACACCAATTATTTTTGTTTACATGTCGCCGCCTATGATAAATCTTAAATTTGGACTCTGTCAACCGAAAAAAGTGGAAAAATCCGAACTTTAAAAATCCACCATAAATCCAGTTTTCCATGGATTTGGGCCATATCCAGCTTGTTCTATTCGGTAGGATGTACACTTTAAGTTTGTACCCATTATGATTTTTCAACGGATTTATTTCGAGTTTTTACGATATATACAGCCGACTTACAGACGACCAAAAAACACATTTTTCATCTTTGTCAAGCTTCTGCGCTGCCATTACTCATCCAATCATATTGATCTGTATGGCAAAGTTAAGCTCTGATCTATTGACTTTAAAATAAAACTAAAACTGGCTCAACCAAGTGGATATCTGCCGAAATATAAGAAGAAATTCGAAAAAAGTCCGAAATTTAACATTTCGAACTTTAAAAAATCTTTAAAAAAAAACTGTGCCATCGAAAAAAAAATAATTCCTATTTTTGTGATCTAGGGGTCCAACACTAACAGAATTTGCCATCAATTGCTGGGGAGCACACCAAGAATATTATTTTGTAAACTAGTGTTATTTGAGATTTTTAATTTAAAAAGACTACTGTGATATTTTATTTTAAACGTCAAAAATAATGTTCTTTTTACTCTTGTCCACAAAGTATATGCATTTCAACAAATCTGGAAAGCAAATTAACTGTTATTTGTTCATGTCTATAAAGTGCATAAAAACCAGTTAAATTGTTGATTAAAACTTGTAAAAACCTTAGTAGGCCTTTTAAAATAAAAATCTCAAATAATGATTACACTAGTTTACAGCCGAAATGCTCCCCAGCAATTGATGGCAAATTCTGTTAGATTTAGACCCCTAGATCACGAAAATAGCACTAAATTTTTTTTCGATGGCACAGTTTTTTTTAAAAGGTTTTTTAAAGTTTGAAATGTTAAATTTCGGACTTTTTTCGAATTTTTTCTTATATCTCGGCAGATATCCACTCGGTTGGGCCAGTTTTAGTTTTATTTTAAAGTCAATAGATCAGAGCTTAACTTTGCCATACAGATCAATACGATTGGATGAGTAATGGCAGCGCAGAAGCTCGACAAAGAGGAAAAATGTGTTTTTTGGTCATCTGTAAGTCGGCTGTATATATCGTAAAAACTCGAAATAAATCCGTTGAAAAATCATAATGGGTACAAACTTAAAGTTTACATCCTACCGAATAAAACAAGCCGGATATGGCCCAAATCCATGGAAAACTGGATTTATGGTGGATTTTTAAAGTTCGGATTTTTCCACTTTTTTCGGTTGACAAAGTCCAAATTTAAGATTTATCATAGGCGGCGACATGTAAACAAAAATAATTGGTGTTGGCAGCCGGGTCACTAAATAGCTAAATCAGATATTTAAAAGCTAGAAAATTATTAAAGTGAATTTAATTTTTTAATTAGGGTTACTTTTTTCAAAAGAATGAACTATCCAAATGGATAGTACTTAGTTAAAAATACTCACAGTCATAACGCAAGCAATTTTATATTTTTAAAGGAATTTTCAGAAATTAAATTTATTTTATAATTTTCTAGATTTTAAATTTAGCTATTTTTTGACCCGGCTGCCGTCACCACTCATTTTTGTTTACATGTCGCCGCCTATGATAAATCTTAAATTTGGACTCTGTCAACCGAAAAAAGTGGAAAAATCCGAACTTTAAAAATCCACCATAAATCCAGTTTTCCATGGATTTGGGCCATATCCGGCTTGTTTTATTCAGTAGGATGTAAACTTTAAGTTTGTACCCATTATGATTTTTCAACGGATTTATTTCGAGTTTTTACGATATATACAGCCGACTTACAGACGACCAAAAAACACATTTTTCATCTTTGTCGAGCTTCTGCGCTGCCATTACTCATCCAATCGTATTGATCTGTATGGCAAAGTTAAGCTCTGATCTATTGACTTTAAAATAAAACTAAAACTGGCCCAACCGAGTGGATATCTGCCGAGATATAAGAAAAAATTCGAAAAAAGTCCGAAATTTAACATTTCAAACTTTAAAAAATCTTTAAAAAAAACTGTGCCATCGAAAAAAAAATAAGTGCTATTTTTGTGATCTAGGGGTCTAGCACTAACAGAATTTGCCATCAATTGCTGGGGAGCACACCAAGAATATTATTTTGTAAACTAGTGTTATTTACGGTCCCTGAAAAATAGTATTACTAATTATCTATTTGCTAATAAAAAAGAATATGGAGTAAATACACAACCTTTTAAAAATATTTTAAAAAATGTATGACCTAATAATGACGCATGAAGTTATTAATTTGTACGTTCCTCATGTAGAAACGAGCCATTTATAATAATAATATTCAACAAAATCCAATTAACTAAGTTTCTGCACATTTCTTTTATTAAATTTTTATTTTACACAATACCAAAAATATCGGATTCAATGATGCCATATTTGTCAAAAAAGAGGCGGGATTTTGTATTAATTTTGTTTATGCTGTCAGCACTCAACTCGTCTTTGTATGATCCAATAATACCACGTCGTAGAAATCTAATGTTAAAAATATAAATTACTTTCAAATTGCTGAAACTCAAACACAAACTTACTCAAAATTATCGGTAGTTTCATGAAATGTTTTCAAAAAATGTTTGTGGTTTCCAAATTGACTTTCTAAAGCATAACGACATTGGAGAATTAAATATAGGTACTTTGCATTCAAAATTATTAGCAGTTTACTTACTTTTCATGTTCTCAAAACTTAAGTGGCTTAAGAGTTTTTCCATTTCATTATCGGTCAAATCCTTGAAATTTAAGAAACGAGATAGTCTCCTAACCACACCTTTAAGGTCTCGCTTCATTTCCTCGTAGGTAACAAAGAAAATATTCTTCTCATTGCGCAGCCTATAAAAGTCGACTAAGTGCCCCCAGTAAGAGCTAAATGGAGTCTTATCAGCAACAAAGTCATCTACAAATTCGTCAATAGAGCATTTCCAGTACTTTATATCACTAAAGAAGTGATATGTTGACACCACAACATCCTTTGGATTTCGAGCCACGTAAATAGTTTTCCTCCCATGCGTGAAAATTTCTCGGGGCAGCATATGCGCTGGTAAATGGGACTTGATCAACCTGGGATTGTCTTGAATTTGTTCACAAGCATCTATTGAATCAGCTTTCCACATGGAGTCCACTCCTGAATGCCTACATTTTAAGCAAGTTATATTAAGGTAATAGCTTTCACAAATATATTGGTGAAATCTTTTCAAAAATGTTGAGATCAGGAAGTATGAAACAAAAATCCACTCACTCAAGATAGGGGCTGCGCACCATACCATAGCTTTGCTGAGCTTTCTGGTAGTCAAGATTATTTAACAGAAGCCAGGACAACTCCAACATCCAAGTTGAACCTGTCTTTGCAGAAGACACCAAGAAAACATCAGTATCCCTGCTCTTAAAGCTCGCGATCCGATTCGCAAAGTCCATCGTGTAATTCAAAGGTAAAGTGCACCAGCGATTGCTCCAATCCTCCTTTAAGGGAATCCACTCAGGGCCAAGCCCATTGGGCCCTTTGCACCGGACCTGAATTGGTATTTCGCTTATGTGGGAACACTTAATGGTTTTAAAATCGTACATTATGACACAACCTCACGAGGCTCTTTTTGTAACTGCTTGATATGTAGTCTTTGTTGCCTCTTTTATAGATACCTTGTGGTAATAATGATTATAATTTGCAAGTTAATTTTGATTATTGAAAAAACTTATCGTAATCCTATTTCCGTGTGAAACAGACACAAACAAAATTCTAATGATAAAGCTTACAATAATACTGTTCAGTAGTGTTTTTGGGCCAGTCATATTAGAATTAAATTATGTTGATATAGACGTATACAAAGACATCTGCTTACTCTGTTTTCGCGTGATATTTACATAATCGTTGATGTCGCGATCGTCACGATATTTTGCGTCGTAAAAATCCATCGTGGGAGCAAGGAAAATGTAAAAACCTATTAAATTCGAATTTAGTTGTACGACTTTTGGAAAAACTCTGCCGACCGCTGAACTTAAGTAGGGTTTAACATAAAAGTGTAGAAATGTTAAACCTAGTATCTACTTTTCGTTAAACATGCAGACAAGAAAGCTGCCTAAAGAGTCTTAGGGCCGGTTGAAACCTTAAAATCGTATGGGAAATCAGAGTTTTAACCCTATTTTAAATTAAATAGACGGCCGATAAAAACGGCCCTAGACTCTTGCATTTCTTCTGTCAACTTCGACACAAAAATTAATTATTTTAAAATAATTAAACTCTCTTATGGATAGACTAGATATCGCCCATTTTCCCCTATTGCAATATTGCCTCTGGTCAGTTTTTTAATCAATATATATATCAAAAAATTTTACAAAATTTATTTCATCAGAAAATAGGAAACTTGGCTTAATGATCAATTATGTTTACTGTTCCTTTTTTGACATTAAGATTTTGGCTTTGCCAAACACCTTGCTTAGCACGAGTTTTCCAATCAGTCGGGTAAGAAGAACTAACAAGACCATGGCCGAAAGAAATAGAGCGTAGATATCCAGATTGTGTAACTCAATAATGCTCATATGCACCGCAGGACTTTGCATATGTGGAGCACCATGATGTCTCAAGACGTAGTCCGTCCAGTAAATAACTGACTGTTTTGGAGTAAGGGGTCGATCCCTGTACAGGGCGGAGAGTTTTTCAGCTGCTTGCCTGTACTTAGCGTTTTCCAAGACTTCTTTAATGGCTTCTCTGAAACTGCGTTCTGTAAGAGTAAAGAAATCAATGGCGACGCCACTTCCTGATTTCACCATCACATCAGCATTTACAGGTTGATCATAAAACATGGGCATGGCCACCATTGGAACTCCGTGGTACTGAGATTCGGTCATGCTGTTCTTTCCGGCATGTGTGATAAACAGTTTGGTGTTTGAATGAGCCAGGATATCATCCTGGGGCAGCCAGTCCTTGTACAGAATATTTGAGGCATTGCCTGGTGTGTTTTTCAAATCCTCCCATTTCCAGACAATATTTTCTCTTAGGCCTGATAAGACTTTAAACATTGTTTTGACGATTTCTGGCTTCACCATATGGCTTTTAACGTTCGAGCCCAATGAGAGAAATATTGCTCCCTGCGTAGACTTATCCAAAAACTGGCCAATATCCTCGGGCAACGGATCGGGATTCTCCTTGACGTGAATGCCACCGACTTCAATGATAGCGGGAACCAGAGGTCGAATACTGCCGTCGGTGATTAAATGAGAACCTACAAATGCCACTGAGATATTCTTTCTCATTTCACTAAGAGTCGGTATATCTTTTTCCGTAAAGATTTTATTATAAATTCGTGTAAACTTGTAATCAAATAGCAACGTCAAGTACTGGAGAATTATTTGTTTGACCATGTTCTCAGCTCGTTTAATAAAGTTCATCGGTACCGCTGCATAAGTAGATTCATTGGGCACATATGAGATCTCCGAGGGATTACCGACAAACTCATCAACCCTGATGTTGGACGGTGTCGTCCAGTCAATGATAACAGGAACCTTCAGCTTGGCTGCTACTCCCAGTTGGAAGTCGTTGAAGAAAGAGCCCAATATCATCAAATCAAATTTAGTCTCGTAAATGCGCAGGAACCTCGAGTCAGAGAGAAGATCAGCCTGGGAATTAACCATTACACTCTGATCATTTAGAAGGAGAGACATGATGCTTATGACGTCATGCTTGCTTTTTGCCATACTGGACATTTGGTTATCTAAAGTGAGTTCTTGTTCCTTTGTCAAAGGCACCACTATCAGATGGATATCCTTGTACACAACCTTGGGTTCAAGTATCGACACCACAGTCACATTGTGTCCTGCTTCGGCGAGAGCATTTGCCGTCGACATGTAAATAATCAGATGCGACGGACTGAGGTCACTGTATAACCCCAGGATATTTGCACCATCGGTGGAAGCTACGGCGGCGAGAATCCATAAAATCAGTGGGCAAGCCGCGAGCATCTTATAAAGTTTTTGGTTAACTTCTCCACGCAATATTGAATTGAAACTGATGATAGTCGGCGTATTTAGCATACAATATATTGACGACTGCCACCGTCTACCAAGGTCACCCGCAGCTTCGCCGGAAATCAAGATTCTACACGACTTGCTTGTCTGTTACATTGATACCTAAAGTAAAGTTGAGGGTATAAAAAGTAGATCAATTTTTGAAACGATAAGTAATGAAAATAAAAGTCCTTTAGTATTGCCACTTCACTTCAGATATATATCTTGACCCCTTCGGTTTGATGTGTCATGATAACGTACAGCTCCTGATGCTTTGTGTATGTTGCCTCGGTTATCCAATTCCACTTCCCTGTATATTAAGGGGGGACATAAAGGGTTGAAAGTGTCCTGTCTCCTGGGAGTTTGCCGTGGATCCATAAAGATGTTGTACCATTCTCGCACTCAAAATATAAGTACACAGCTTGATCATACTGCAAGAATAGAATTGTCGAAGGCGAAATGCTGATTTGAACTGATTCTAATTTTCAAGAACCCCAAAAAATGGTTCCAACTCTTGAGGTTTAGCCTGATAAGGTACTCCCACACATACAAATAACTTACACTCGACTAGAGCGTGATTAATTGTAGAGTTAAAGGGTATATTCATTCGCGTATCTTTAGTGGTGTTTTGGGCGATAAGTCCCCCCATTCGATTGGGAATTTTAACCAAAGCGAACCCAACGCGGTATGGCATTCCGTAGAAAAAAGATATATATATATTCTTGATCAGGATCGATCTAACCATGTATGTTTGTCTGTACGACTTTGTGTACAAATGTCGAGATCTCATGAACAAAATGAGCTAAAGGGTTGGGACTAGCCATGCAGATTCTGGTGATAATAAAAATCGATGAATTTTTAAATTCCTCAACAGAGTAATAGAGATAATAGCTGTATTTCTTGTTCTGTGTTCATGGTCAAGAGCACCCACAATGAGGTATGACATGAATTACATGAAATAAAAGAAATATAAAAATGAGCACACTTATTTATTAGATATGCGATTTGCGTTATTTGTACATTTACTCTTCTTAAATCTATTTTTACTACTACAAGCATCCTTAACTTAGTTTACTGATTTTTTTTGCCCTTGATAATTTTGCTTTGCCCAGCTGCCTTCCCCACACAACTAGTTGGAGGACAAACAAGACCAGGATAGCTAATATAAGAGCGTAGATATCCAGGTTGTGTATTTCAATAAAGCTCATGTGCACTGCTGGACTTTGAAGGTTCGAAGCACCACGATGCCTCAAGACGTACTCCGTCCAGAAAACCACCGTCTGTTTAGCGGTTAGGGGCCGATCCCTGAACAAGGTGGAGAATTTTTTAACTGCTTGGCTATACTTTTCATTTTCCAAGACTTCTGTAATGGCTTTCCTGAAACTTTCTTCCGTTATAGAAAGCAAATCGAGGGACAGGCCATATCCCGATTGTTCCATAAGAGCAGCGTTTCGGGGTTGATCCCCGAAAATGGGTAGAGCCACCATTGGAACTCCGTGATACTGGGATTCAGTAATGCCACCTTTTCCGGCATGTGTAATAAAAAGTTTTATTTTTGGGTGGGCTAAGATATCGTCTTGGGGCAGCCAGCTCTTATAGAGAATGTTTGATGAATTTCCGGGTGTGTCCTGCAGGTCCTCCCACTTCCAGATAACGTTATATTTCAGTCCCGATAAGACTTTAAAGAGAGTCTGGACAATTTCCGTGCTCACCGAAGAGATCTTGATGTTGGAACCAAATGAGAGGAAGATAGCTCCTTGGGAAGAGTTACTCAGAAACTGATCAATATCCTTTGGCAGAGGATCCGCCTCGTCCTTCACCTGTATACCTCCAATTTCAACAATGCCAGGCACCAGGGGTCGAATGGGACCCTCACTATTTAAATGGGAGCCGACAAATGCAAGTGAGATATTCCTTCTCATTTCATTCAGGGTTGGCATGTCTTTTTCCGTAAAGATTTCATTATAAATTCGGGTCAATTTGTAATCGAATTGTAAGGCCAAGTACTTGAGAAGCAGGTGATTGATCATATTCTCAACCCGTTTTAGGAAGGTCATGGGAAGCTCGGCAGAAGTGGCTGTATTAGGCACATAAGAGATCTCCGATGGATTAGATAATAACTGATCAACCATGTTGTTGGACGGAATCATCCAGTCAATAATAACAGGAACCTTCAGCTTGGCTGCAATTCCCAATTGGAAGTCGTTGAGGAAGTAACCCAGTATCATCAAATCGAATTTGGTCTCGTAAATGCGCATGAACCTCGGGTCAGAGACTAGATCAGCCTGGGAATCGATTAAGACATCCATGCCGTTCAGGAATCGATTCAAAGTGCTAATAATGGAGTTCTTCTGCCCGGCCATTTCGGTCATTTGGCTATTCACAATGAGCTCCTGTTCCTGCTTCATCGGAACCACAATAAGGTGGATGTTCTTGTGCATTACCTTGGGCTTCAGCATTGACACCACTGTAACATTATGTCCTGCCTCGGCCAAGGCTTTGGCCGTCGACATATGGATTATCAGATGCGAGGGACTGTGACTGCTAAAGAGCCCCAGTATATTGGCTCCGTTAGTGGAGGCCACTATTGCGAGTAGTAATAAAACAACGAAGTTAACCGAGAACATAATATGATTTTTTTCATGAACTCCTCCGGTAAATATCAAATTAAAACTGGTGGGAATCGGGATTGGTGCAAACTATTTATTGGTTAACTTGGCCATTGCAAAAATAAGAAAATAATCGTCTCTCTTGATCTTGAACGATAACCTTATCTTTATTCACGTGTTCATTAGAACATAAAGTATCATAAATTGGCAATTCGCCCACTCATGCGAAATTATTCCCTCTGCAGAGGGTATAATGATTTCAGTCAGAAGTTTGCAACGCAGAGAAGGAGACATTTTTGACCCTAAAAGTATATTTATTCTTCACTACTCATTAAAAGAGTCGCTAGCCATGACCGTCTCTCAGTTTAAAAGCATTCGGGATGAATTTATTGCAAAAGTCGTATTTTGATTGCAGGTAGTATATAACTTGAAACCAACCAAATCATAAACAATCTGAAGGCGATTTCGGCTAAAACATTGAAAGTTACAACATTTTATAAAATTTTGGTCGGTACCCATTGACTTTTTAAAAACTGTTTTAAATTAATTTAGAAAATTAATATTTTCGAAAATGTCCGCAGATTATTTTTAAATTGGTTTACATTGCCACAGATGGTCAATTTATTCAAAAAGTATAACTCATTTTTAAAGCCCTGGATTCGCCCCTGGCTAAGAAGTTATATTTATTCAGAATATTTATAAGAAAGGGTATCTGGTCGAGGCAGTCTACTGAATTCTTATTTCTTGTTTATATTGTTGATAAGTTGCAAGACTCTTTTTTTTTTTACCGATAGCATGGCCATGAAAGTAAAGATGTCTGGAAATAAAAAGAAAATATTGTTGCTAAGTTGCAGGTCTAATTGGTTACCGATAGCATGGCCGTAAAAGTGCAGATGTCTTAAACTGAAAAAAAAATTTTAATTTAAACACAGAGATTAGGAAACGAGCGCATGGCAGAAATTTATAACCATATCCTGGCCTTGATGTATTATCTTGGGGTTATTCTCAAGTGCAAAAGAGGTGGCTGCAGAGTCTGCTGCATTTTGGAACAGCAGGCTATTTTTTAATTTTAGCTTATTATGGAATATTGAATTTAAACACAACAATACTTTTATTGATCAGTTTTAAAACTTGTATCTTTACTTATAGGGGATAATTTAGGATCCCCTATTTGTCATTTTCGGGACATCATTTTAAATACAATGGAAACTCTTTTTAACTATTTATTAGTTCCTCGTACCCACTGAAAGGTTGAGTCCCAGCATGATCAATATCCACACAATGTTTTCTTATAAGCCCGATGTTAGAGCCAAACGAGGGAAGGATTGCTCCCTGGGAAGACTTAACTAAAAACAATGCAATATCCTCGGGAAACGAATCGGGCATCTCCTTCACCTGAATGCCTTCGATTTCAATAATTGCAGGAACCAGAGGTTGAAACCATAAAGGACCGTCAAATTTCTGTTTCCAGAGAGTATGCCATGGATCTATAAAGATGTTGTACGATTATCGCTCACAAAATATAAGTGCACAACTTGACCATACTGCAAGAATAGAATTGGCGAAGGCGAAAGTCTGATTTCAAATGATTATAATTTGCAAGCATCCTAAAAATTGCGTTCCACCTATGAGGCCATGGCCCGATAAGGTACTCCAACACATACAAATGACATACACTCGACTAGAGCGTGATTGTACCCGTTAGTGGTAGAGTGAAAGGGTATATTCATGCGCGGATCCTTGGCTCTTAGAAAGGAAAAAAATATTTGCTTTGGTGTTGCTTGCAAATTTTTTCTTCTACTTTTGGGAATACAATTTTTTAAATATTTTAAATATATTATATAATATTATGACTATATCATATAGCTGCCCTAGAACAATAGGAAAATTAATAGGACATTCATTGTACAAAAATTATCGTAAACTCTTCTACTTTCGGATATACATATGTACCTTCTTTTTAATATTTCTGAATATCGGCTCCAGAGGAAGGATCGAAAATGTAATGTCAAAATAAAACAAAAACAGCAAACATTTTTTTGTAAATAAATCTCAATTTAAACTTTAATTACAATTTTTAATTTAATAGGAAAGTTTCAGCAAGGGGTTATAAACTTCGGCTGACCCAAGTTAACTTCTTTTCTTTTTCATGTTTCTTCTCATTACGGAGAATTTTTATTCAATCTCTACGCTTACACACTACCAAAAATATCGGATTCACTGATGCCATATTTATCAAAGAAAGTGCTGGACTTTTTATCAATCTTTTCCATGTTGTCAGCACTTAACTCATCTTTGTATGAACCAATAATACCACGACGTAGAAACCTAAAGGTAAAGAAATATGAGTTACTTCTAAATTGCCAAGTGGTAAAAAAAACTTACTCAAAATTATCCGAAGTTTTACGAAAAGAATTCAAAAAATTTTTGTGGTTTCCAAATTGACTTTCTAAAGCATAACGTCATTAATGAATTGAATATACTTTAAACTCAAAATTATTACCAGATACTTACTTTTCATGTTCTCAAAACTTAAGTGGTTTAAGAGTTTTTCCATTTCAAGATCGGTTAAATCCTTGAAATCCAAGAAGCGCGATAGCCTCCTAACCACATCTTTAAGGTCTCGCTTCATTTCCTCGTATGTAACAAAGAAAATGTTTTTCTCATTGCGCAGCCTATAAAAGTCCATCAAGTGCTCCCAGTACGAGGAAAATGGAGTCTTATCGGCAACAAAGTCATCTACAAATTCATCCATAGTGCATTTAGATTCTCTTAAATCAGTAAAGAAGTGATATGTTGACACCATAACATCCTTTGGATTCCGAGCCACATAAATAGTTTTTCGCCCATGAGTCCAAAGTTCACGGGGCAGCATATGCGCTGGTAAATGGGTCTTGATCAGCCGGGGATTTTCTTGAATTTGTTCACAAGCATCTATTGAATCAGCTTTCCACTCAGGGTCAACGCCTGAATGCCAACATTTTTAGCAAGCGTTATTAAGGATAATGAATTGCTCCAAATATTAATATTTTGAGTGATTTTTTAAGTACTCACTCAAGATAGGAACTACGCAGGCCACCATAGGTTTGCTGAGCTTTCTGGTAGTCAAGATTATTTAACAAAAGCCAAGACAACTCCAGCATCCATGTTGAACCTGTCTTTGCAGAAGACACCAAAAAAACATCAGTTTCCCGGGTTTTAAAGTTCCCGATCCGATTCGCAAAGTCCATCGTATATTGCATAGATAATGTGCACCAGCGATTGCTCCAATCCTCCTTTAAGGGAATCCACTCAGGTCCAAGCCCATTGGGTCCTTTACACCGGACCTGGATCGGTGCTCTGCTCACATGGGAGTACTTAATGGTCTTAAATTCGTACATTATGGAAGAGCCTCGCGAGTCTTTTGTCGCATATGCTGCGTTTGGAGTCTTTGTGCCACTTTTATAGGGCCTTGTGCAGAGTATCCAACCATGTCAAAAATACCTCTGCGTTTGTTCAGGATGGTTTAAAGTCTTTATTGACAAAGTTTTAATCAATATATTTAAGAACACAAATTATAAAATGAACTTGTTGGCTTGTGAGCGTGCGGCATACGTCTCTCTCCTTTGACGTTGCCAACCGAACTGCCTTATTTTTGACAACTCGGCCTTTCCTGACGAGAGTTAGTCTTCTGTTGAGTAATCGTAGTCGTCATCATTGGTATCCAGATCTGGGATTAAAGCACACCACGGCTTCATGTGATCAATGGATACTACGTTGCTGTATCGTCTTTGAGAAACAGAATAATCTGGTAGGTCCTCAATTATGTATCGGTCGTTACCAAGAATCTTAGTAACGATATAAGGTCCTTTGAAAGCTGGATCCAATTTATGTGTCTCTCCTGTAGCAGCTGGAACAAAGTCAGTCATAACCAGATCGTCCACACTGAATTTCTTTGGAGAAATATGTTTGGCATCGTATCGGATCTTCCATTTTTGCTGCTCCGTTTTTATATTTTGTTCTGCTTGCTGGCGATTCAATTCAACATTAAGTTCTGGTTCGTATTCCTGAGTTAATGCTTGAATTAGGCGATTTTTGGACACATCTCGTGGATTGAAGTTGAATACCAGATCATTTGGGGTAAACTTTGTAGTGGAATTTGTGTTTGTATTCATGCTCCACTGAATTTTTCCTAAGTTTTGATCCCAATCCTTATCGATGGCAGTGCTCGTTTTTAATGCACTGAGTAAAGTTTTATTCATTCTTTCAGCCTGGCCATTAGCGCGGGGCGTGCGAACTGCTGTTTTGATGTGCTGAATTCCATTTTCATTTATAAAATTGTCGAACTCCTTTGATGTGAACGATGTACCTCTATCCGAAATTAGGCGTACAGGTTGCCCAAAAACGGAAAAAATTTGTTTTAAAGCTTTGATTACAGGTGTCGTTTTTGTATTACGTGTTGGTATTAGAAAGGTGTATTTCGTAAAAGCACACACAACCACCAGTATGTGACAATTTCCGGTTTTACTTTTGATGAATGGCCCAATGTGATCAATGTTAATTGATCGGAACGGAATAGGGACTACTTCTTGCAAGTGTAGTTCACCATCAGATTTTCCACCTTTTACCTTATTCACACAGCATTCTGGGCATGACGCAATGTAGGACTTGATGTATCCGCGCATCCTTGGGAACCAGAAATACTTCCTTAGCCTTTCCAGAGTTTTTTCCGTTCCAAAATGTCCTGCGTCATCATGGTTGGACTTGGTCACACGCCATCTGATTGCTTGGGGTACTACCAACTTGTTGCCATCATCAGTTTTCCGGTACAATCTGTTTTTATTGATAACGTAGTCGGTTTTTATTTGGCTCCATTGGTTACTGGCGTCCTTGATACGAAAAACCTCGAAGATGTCTTTTATTTTTGGATCCTGCATCTGCATCGTGTAAATCCAATCTTCGTCAATGGGAACTATCTTCAACACGTTGTCTGCCACGGTTATTGAACTGTCCTCTGGTGGAAGTACTGGATGCCTACTCATTCCATCTACGTGAGGCATTTGCTCTCCAGGCCGATGTTTGCATTTAAAGTCGAATTCTTGTAGTCTCAGCCACCAGCGTGCGATTGGAGGTTGTAATGCCGTCGACTCCTTGAGGGTTGCCACAGCATTGCAATCGGTCACCACTACGAACTCGGATCCGACGAGATAAATGCGGAATCTTTCCAATGACTCAGTGATAGCTAGTACTTCCAGTGCATAACTTGAGTAGCGACTCTCAGCTTCCGAGCAAAGCCTGCTGAAATAGAATACCGGCCTAAGTCCTTCGTCTTCTTCTTGTAGTAGAACTCCTGCGATTCCTTTGCTGCTTGCATCCGTGTGTACTTCGTGACGCCTTGCTGGATCGTAAAGGGTCAATACAGGTTGCGATACAATAGCCTCCTTCAAGTTTCGGAATGCTGTTTCTTGTTCAGCTTCCCACAGGAAATCTTGGTTTTTCTTCAGAAGCTTACTTAAAGGTGCTGCCATCATGCTGTATTCCTTGACGAACTTGCGAAAGAATCCAGTGATTCCAAGGAATCTGCGTACATCAGCATCGTTTTGGGGCGTTCCATAATCGCTGATGCATATGGTTTTCTCGATTCCTGGCTGAATACCGTTTGCAGTTATTAGGTGACCCAAAAATTTGACCTTAGTCTGCAAGAAGGAACATTTGGATGGACGTAAAGTTAGTCCAACCGATCGAATTGCTTGCAGAAACTCGTTTAAAACGACAAGTCCTTCTTCAACCGTTTTTGATGGAATGATGACTTCATCTACATAACTTATTATGTTGCGTTGGTGTTCTAGCTGACGTAACAAATCCATGATGACCTCCTGAAATACCATTGGTGCGTTTACCAAGCCAAATGGCATTACATTAAACTCGTAAAGTCCATCCGGAGTCATAAATGCCGTGAATCTCTTGCTTTCCTGGCCCATAGGAATCTGGTAGTATCCTGAAGTCATGTCCAGAGTTGTAAAGTACGTGTTTCCAGACAACTTTCCTAATTGTTCCTCTACAATTGGCATTGGATATCGTTTCTTCACAGTGACTGCGTTGAGCGCTCTGTAGTCGATGCACAAGCGACTCTCTCCATTAGCCTTCGGAACTAATATAGCCGATGACGCGTGAGGTGAGGTGCTCTTACTGATGATATTGTGCTTAAGTAGAAGTTCTAACTGAGATCGGAGTGCATCCCTTTTGGCAAATGCAACTTGGTATCGACGACCCAGTATCGGAGTTGCTGAAGTCACCTCGATGTCCATAACAGTGGTATTGCATCTGCCAATATTGGAAAGGCCTTCTGCAAAGCAATCTGAATAGCTGTTTAACATATCGGTCACCTCATTGCGCTGGGAACTATTGATATCGGCGCTTATGTTGAAGTTGATTTCTTCCTCCACTGCTAGCATTATCGATCCTGAATTGTCGATTTGATCGTAGTCCTTCTTGCACAGTAAATCTCTGCCCATCAGTACGTTGTACGGAAGTACGTCATCGGGTACAATAGGAATGCGTACATACATCTCGCTGCGATCTGTCTTTACCGAAGTCAGTATACATTCCTTAGTCTCCACTATTGATCCTCCAAATCCTTGCAAGTGTTTCAGTGATGACTGTCGAATTGATCCATCTGGAACCGCCGATTCTCTTATAAGGGTATGATCGCTGCCAGTATCGACGAATGCAGAAAACTCTTTTCCTCCGAGCTGAATTGTCTTCATTATGGGTGGATACTCTTTAGTAATTGCTGCGTCTACTTGAGCGACCGATGATACCTTAACCCTGCAATCTTTTGCTTCATGCCCAATCTTCGAGCAGATTGAACAGCGTGGCTTTTTCTGCGGGTCAGGACACTTAGCAGCTATGTGACCCATTTGGTTACAGTTAAAGCACTTTGGTCCTTTGGCTTTAGCCTCGCCACCCGCTATCTCTTGTCCTTTCATGTACACAGACTGAAAAGGAGTACTTTGTTGATGCAACGCTTGCACTGTCTTCATATTCTCCAGAGACCTGAATAGTTCTGAGCAGGTTTGTAGGTTCATGGCCAACAAAGCCTTCGTACAATCATTTTGGTTAAGTCCGTTAATAATGTACGAATTGATGGATGGCTCATCGATATTTGCTCTTCTTCCAATTGCCATCATGATGTAGAAATACTCGCTGAATGATTCGTTGAGCTTTCTTTTGCGCCGCATCAATTCCCTGTGAACATCTGCTGTGTTCACCACGCTTGGAAAATCCAGTAACAGGGAACTCTTAAACTGTCCCCACGTTTGGAATACAGACTGTGCATCTAACCATTCCTTGGCGACACCTTTCATTTTGTGCTGTACAGCAAACAACACTGTCCCATCGTTCCATTCGTAAACGCTCTGCAACTGCTCGGTTTTGCTTATAAACTGTTGTGACGTTATGTTGCCCCTAACTGGATCATACTCAGGCAACACACCTATCACATCCTTGATGATGGCGTTAGTGTAAACTGTGCGTTCGGGGCTCTCTCTGATCCGTTGGTGCCGTTGTTCTTCACCTGGTGGTGGTGCGCCTACCGTGTTCGCCAGGCTCTGCTGCTCTACAACAGCCGGTGATGCTTCTGCGTTCCTTCCGTTAGATTGGCCAGAAGTTGAAGCCCCTTGTTGAACACTCAAGGCCTGAACAGTTTGCGATAAACTGATCATCAACTGCTTCAGTTCGTCAATTTGCGATTGTACCGAATTTGTATCCAATTCGTAGTCATCTCGTTCAATTTCGTCGCATCCCAAGATCCGTGTGAGTTCGTCGATTTTTGCCGATTTGTTTCCGACGACTGGAAGATTATTCGTGCGTAGAATAATATCCAGTTCGGGAACCTTAAGTTGACTTAGTTTAACTAACATTTTAGTTAACTTCGTGGTCCGTGGCGTCTTCTCTGTTTCCCACTCTTGGTGCTTCTTTTTCTTTT